CGCCGTTCTCGAGCGGGCGGAGCTTGGGAAGCCGCTTTCGTGCATTATCGGGTTTCAGCCCTTCGTGGGCTGCGCGATCCGCTGCGCCCCCCCTTTGCTTTGCCCGAGAGCCGAGACGGCGATGTGGACGGAGTGGCTGGTGCGGGACTGCCTGGGAGGCTTGGACCCGGCGAGGCCCTTTCACGTGCTGGACTTGTGTTGTGGGACGGGGTGTGTGGGGGTGGCGATCGCCAAAAAGGTCCCACCGGCGCGCGTGTGGGGGGTGGATATCCTGCCAGAGGCCGTCCAGATGAGCCAGGAGAACGCGCGGCAGAATGGAATCCCCGACACACGCTACACGGCGCTTCAAAGCGATTTTTTTGCGTGCTTTATGGCAACCGAAATCAAGGCGGGGGAGGGGTCTTTGGGGGACACCTCAGTGCCTTGTGAGGGTCCTACAAAGGATCGGGCCGATTCTCAACCACGCAAGATGCAAATCGCGGATGCATACCGCCATTCTTTTGATCTTATCGTTTGTAATCCGCCCTACGTGCTGCCCGCGCAGTACGACGCCTTGCCATTGACTATTAAGCGTTGGGAATCAAGACTAGCGTTGGTTGGAGATGCCCGCCGCGAATCGAAGCAGTATTTGTATTTTAAAGAGCTCTGCGAATATGGTGTGGAGATGTTAAAACCAGGACGTTCAAATGATACCGCACTGCGTGAAGTTCCCAATTTAGTAGTGGAGGTTGGGCTCCAAGCCGAGGTTGTGGCATCGTTGATGGAGATGAGCAAGCTGTGGGAGAATGTGAAGGTCCACCTCGACTACGCACAGCAGCCACGCTGGATTACCGCAACTTCCACTCATTAGACTTTTAGTTGGTTGATCAGAGGGTCAAAGGTGAAATTTCTAGCGAAAATTTTTTAGAAGAGGCAAAGGTGATTGTGTGTGTGTGTGTGTGTAGTTGAAATATCTTGAACTGAATAGGGCCAAAAGGGTACTGCGCACGTCATTCAAATCCTCGACTGGGGCGATCGATGTGGATGCGCCAAGGGGAATTCATTATCTTTAGAGAAATCGAATCATAGTTTCCTGAAGTAGGATGTGTAGGTTATATCTTTGAATAACTCTTTTATTATTAATAGAGCATTGGAGTAAGGAAAAAGACAAGGACCTCTTGTGCTTTTAACCGTTCTTTCCTCCCCCTTTATTTTTTTTTTACAATATGAGTATTTTCCATTGTAACAGAAAGCAAGCCGATAGTGATACTTGCCTAGTATTTCCTTTTCTCAGCGCTCACTATACATATATATATCTATACATCTATAGAAAGGTAGATTGATAGAGAGGGCTATTATTTGAGTCCATGGTTCTCGTTGAGTGCAAACGCCTGCCGAAGGAGGAGTACAGCAAGGACTACGATGCCTTCCTTGTCTCCTTCCCGGGCGCGACCAACATCGGCGTCGCCGCGGATGCCCTGCAAACGATGCAAAACACGCGTGTCCGTCTGAAGTGGATGATTGCGGCGGCACGACAACTCGCGAAGGACACCTGCGCGGCCGACCAACAGCACCACCTGCTCGGGCCCGCGCAGGACGCCGAGGCGTATCTGTCCCTCGAACGCAATACGCGCCGTCAGGCCTGTGAGCAGGGGGAACTCAACGCTCTCGTGGACGCTTTTAAGGGTGGCGCGATGATTCTTTTCCCGGAGGAGTCCAGCGGCGCGGATGCCTGCCAGCGTTTAACCGTCATCCTTGAGGACGACGCGACGCCGGAGGGGGAG